GAAATCGTTCTATCATTCGACGCAACATTGCCGGATATTAAAGCGTCGTTAAATAAACTAAGACTCGATCAATTACGAAGTCGATTTTGTTTACTGCCGACCCCATTTTCTGCACCTATGACGTGCGATCGTAAAGCCAGATGCCCGTACGCTACGCAGCATTAGCATTTATGCTTTGGGTTAGAAGCAGACGACTGGAAGCGATTTGTCATACTAGAGTACGCGCTCGGAGTAATCTTTTTACGTGTTTATTTATAAGCGTGAGGTGTTTGTTATTGCACCAGCGTGTCCGGTTTCTGCTTTCTGTGAGGCGAAAGGGTCAAATGGGCCTTTGAGAGCATGAGTGGCATAAATATCTCAATACTTTCGTCGATACAAAATTTGAATTATTTTCTTTTCTAAATAAAGAAGATAAAAGGCGCCGTGTAGTCTTGTGGAAATTGACCGACGTTTCAGCCTCCATTATCAGGATCTTATGACAGAAGTAGTATCTGCCCTTATTCGTCTCTCTTTCCATGTTTTTATTTTTATTTTCCTCGTTTTCTTGTTCCTCATTTTTCTTCTCGTCTCCGCGCTCCGCCCCGTTCATTTTTTTTAAATTTTCCATTTTATTTTATTTTATCCTCCTCTTTTCGTTCTTATGCTCTTTTCTCTTTAATTTTCTCATTCTCTTATTTATCATTTTCTTCTTCCCTTCTTCTTATTCTTCTTCCCTCTTCCTCTGTTCCTGATTTACTACTTTCTGTATTTTGTACGCGTTCTCCCAAGGCCTTGTCTCTCTTCAAAAAACAATATCTCTGGCAGTTCTGAGAAGCTGGCCTTGTGTCCTACGTCACACACGATTATATCATTAATTTCTTCTTCTCCTTCTTCTTCATCTTCTTGTTCAGTGCTTTGAACGCCGCGTTTTAGCCCCACGTAGTCGCACCTCAGAGGTTTGAATTTGTGCCCAAGTATCAGTACCGCATCCTGTAATTACGAAAACCCTTCGGAACCATCAGATGCATCACAGGTCAGGCAACACTCATATCATGTGTTTGGGAGTGTCTCGATTAAAATCTCTGCTGTGTTAGTTGCCACTGCGACCACTTCAGTGGATTTCCCCAGCTCCTCCAGTTTAATTCCAGGATAGCGCAACGAAAATTCTCGCATGTCATTCATTCATTCATTCATGGCCATATTCCTTTCTCATAAAAAAATTCATGCTAACCTCTGTAGTTGGAACAGAGTCTGCATGATCCAAGATGCACCGAGAAACTACAGATGTTTTTAATACTTGTTAGTATCACGTACCATCGGAACTTTCGTTGGTTGCTTTTTTGATCGACGCATAAATTATATTTATTGTTCGTATCTGAATAATTGACCCCTTCAGTGATCGACCGTGTGCCCATTAACAAAAGCTATTTCGTCATAATTACGTTTGACTGCGCGCAGAAGCCATAAGTCTCTTCTGACAGCATTCAGCCTGCCACATCGATTCCGGACAAGACAGATGGCCAACACTAGTCAGATACCTGAGTGCGACAGCGACGTAAGTGATCATTCGAACGGTTTCGTGGACAGTGG